AAAGATTATACTTCATATTTTAAATTTTAATTTAGCCTTGTAAAAACTCTCTGGGGTAGTAATAACAGGAACTCATCTTATTAAATCTTCATTTAGTACATGGAAAAGGAATATTCAGCAGGATTGCATGATTTTCTTTTAGTGAGAGAATTAATATGAATGAAAAAAATGACTGAAAGTCTCTTGACACCAAAGCCCATGCTTAATTCATTATTTCTGATTAGATCTAGATAGGAAAAGAAGGGCTCACTGCCAAGATCATGACTGATAAAAAATATAAGGTGAATAACTTTAATTAAAATTGCTAAAATGATCTTTTAGAATGAATGTGAAGGTTGACCATGTTCCAAGACTGGATTTATTCTTAGAGTTCTACATTAAGAAAAGCAAGTAATATATGGTATTAATTACAGACTAAAATGGTGTAAAATTATAATTTAGAAATGCCTTGACTAATTCATGAAGATTTGTTGTGATTGTAAATGATTTTAATATAAAGTCAGAATACTTGGAAAATTCGTCATCTTTCTAGGGGTCAAGAATTCCACTAATCATTTCTTCATTTTTCCACTACCCATTTCTCCACTTTCAAATTTTTAATAAAGAATAGTAACTATTCTCTCCTCTTCTTTATTTGTCCTCTTTCTACCATTGTCGTGATATTTATTGCATCCTGGTCTACAAGATTTGTCATTTATCCATTTGTTAATTAGATACTCATTGATGATCTATGATGTCTCAAGCACTGTATTAGGTGATGAGATAGAGATGCAAATTAAACCAACAAAAAGTAGGTTGTCTATTTCTTCATCAAGAACACAAGGGCTGGCTGAACTGGATCTAGTCATTCTCCTTCTTTCTCAAATCAGGTTTTGAGCTGGACATTGTAAGTTGAAGACAAGTTTCAATAGAGACCGGGAAGGTTTTTAAGGGCAATGAGTTGCTTTCACTATTGTAAAATGCTTTCATACAGAGCCCTTACAATATTCTCTGCAGAAGATGGGAGTGCGTAGAGGATAGTGACTTGCTCAAGGTCAAACAACTGGTGAGTTTCAAAGACAGTGTTTTAGCATAAAAGTCCAAACTCTCAAGCACAGCTTATTTAAATTCCTGGTGATAGAGTGGGCAGAAGACTCTACATTGGCAATGATAGCATATTTGATCAAATTGACCTATGTTCATGTATTAATCAAAAGGAATTGTTCCATAAGAGGGTGACAAGGTCCTTTTATGACTTTAGGATACTGAAATTTGTAGTATGTATAGCCTGGAGAGTCTCAAGATAGCCTTATAAAGGCAAAAAATAATCATAAAATGTTGGCATCTGCTTGTAATAATCCTATATATTAGCCATTTCTTTGATCATTGCATTTGTTATACATGTTTGTTTTCCCTTATCTCCATTTTCTTTTATGTTCAAAGATTTTTTTTCCTAATTGATGTTTATTGTGGAATTCTCAAATACAGATATGAAAATAAGGTGAATTTGACAAATGGATGATTTTGGTCTAACTGGGACCTAATATTTTTAAGCTACATAAAAAAAATGTAGAATTTTTGTTAAGCAAGATTCAAGCTGGCTCTATTTACATATCTGAGATGCTAGAAAAAGTTGGTTCCCTGAAGCAAAATTTCAATTAAAAATCTTCATCAAAACTTCTTATATTTTCCCTTGTTCATTTGGTCTTATTGATTTCTAGAATCCCATCAGATTTTTAGCTGCAGCATGTCTTAGGAATTATTTCAGTCATAGATATTTGTAAAATTCAATGTCCTTCTGGAACATGAGTTTTTGAGGACGGGAATAATGTTACTTAACTGTCTGTATCACAGCACACAGTACAGGGAAGTAGAATAAATGTTGACTCAACTGTGATATTAAAAATGCCATCAAGATGAAAAATCATGCATTCCTGAGTAAGAAAGGGATGGGACATGGTGAGCAATGGAACCACAAGTTTGGTGATTTCATTTTGAAGTAAGACTTTTCCCCAGACACCTGCCGCATGGATATATAATATTATCACTCTTACTATAGTTGACTATCACCTCTTCTTGTTGCACTGTCCCATTGTTATTAAAAGCCCCCACTACATCAGAATATAGAGCAATTAGATTCATTTATAGGCTTATACCTTTTGGTAACATGAGGTTAATGTTCTCATTATTTTCAGGGTTTCTCTAGTTACCTTCAACTTTGTGCCAATAGACTTGGGTGGAAAGGTAATCTCCTTAGTCTGAGTTTTAACTCAAGGTTGGAATATTTTGTTCAAATGAGAATTTTTACTTGTCTTTGTATCATACTATTTTTTCATCCTTATTTCATGCTACTCAATGTTCATAAGCACTTTTTTTTTTGAGTCTGTTTGTCCCTTGATCTCTGATTTCTCTCAATCCCCTTTGATCTGTACTTGAAAATGGGCAAGTTTCTGACCAGTTCTTTTCTTGCTAAAGTTAGTCAAAAGTAAGCAATATATAAAAACTCTCATGCTATCCCTCAATATTTTACATGGCTCTGTGGACCTGGGGTCTTCAATCTAAGTAAGCAAAAGTATGATTAACCAACTATTTTCCCAAGGTAAGTTACTTGTTTGTGGGCAGTAAAATACATAGAACATACCCTAAAGTAGTGATTAATAGCTAAAACAATTCCAGCAGATTCCTTGGAGGAGCTATTACTTAAAATGTGACAAAAAGTGTAGACATACATGGATTGGAAGTACTAGGGGAGGTCCAGATATAGCAGAGGCATGAGATAAGTTTGAGTGTGAGCAATTCACTCTATGGATAGTACAATTAACCTGCTGTGCTTGCTTCACAAAGTTATGCATCTCAAATTTCTGATCTATTGCCTTGATAACACATCATTACAAAAGATGACATTGTTTGGGGGATTATGAATGGGACTATATTTTTTGAGGGCAAAGAGAAGAAACCCAGTCCTAGCTTATTACTCATCTTCAATGAGTTCACAGTGCAAGGTGTGGAGAGTTTTCTGAGTTGAAGAATGGATCTGAAATCTGAGCACACTCCATGTTTGTTAGTTGTTTTCATGGATCTTTTAAGTAGTCTAAAGAAGCTGGGTGGCATGCCACATGCCTGTGGTTCCCGTGACTTGGGAAGCTGAGACAGGAGGATTACAAATTCAAACTGAGCCTCAACAGGTAACTTAGTGAAACCCTTTCTCAAATTATTTTGTTTTTTTTAAAAAAAAAGGGGCTAGAAGGGCTGGGGTTATAGCTCAGCAGTAAAGCGCTTGCCTTGCATGTGCAAGGTCCTGGGTTCGATCCTCAGTACCACATACAAATAAATGATATAAAGTTATTGTGTCCAACTACAACTACAAAAAATGAATATTTTTTAAAAGGGGAGGGGCAAGAGATGTTGCTCAGTAGTTAAGTACCCCTTGGTTTAATCCTCAGTACAAAATTCATAAATAAATAAATAAAATGAATATTCTCAAGAAAAGATTTATAAAGGATAATAATTGTAGTTCAGTGGCACAGTGCTTTCCTAGTATGTGTGAGGCACTGGGTTTGATCCTCAGAACCCAACAAAAATAAATAAATAAACTAAAGTAAAATTATGTCCATCTATAACTAAAACACTTTTTCAAAAGAATAATAACTGCATCAAATTAAAGGGCAATTTTAGATGTTCATCCTTTGTTTTTGTATTAAAAAAGTTACATATATTTTTTATTTGATAGGACAAAATATATCACATAAGCATATAACCAAGCTCTTCCTATTCCGTATAGAAATCACTTTGCATGTTCTTAGACTTGAAGACAGAAGAAAAGGATCAACACTGCCACTTCGAGTTGACTTTATTGCAGGGTAAAAGATGGGAATTTATGGTTTCATTCTTCTACATAAGGATATCTAGTTTTCTCAGCTTCATTTGTTAAAAAGGCTATCTTTTCTCCAATGTGGTTTTTTTTTTTACACCTTTCTCAAATATCAGATGACTGTATTGACACAGATTTGTCTCTGTGTTTTCCATTCTATTCCATCAGTCTTCAGGTCTGCCTTGATGCCAATACCACGCTGTTTTTGTTACTATAGCTCTGTAATATGAAGTATAACTGGAAATCAGTTATTCTGATGCCTTCAGCATTACTTTCTTACTCAGGATTGCTTTGGCTACTCTGGTTCTTTAATTATTCCAAATGAATTTTAGGACTGTTCTTTTCTAATTCTGTTAAGAGTGTCATCAGTATTTTGATGGGGATTGCATTGCATCTGTATTATACTCTTGGTAGCATGTTGAAGACAGGAGTAAAGGATCAACACTGTCACTTTGAGTTGACTTTATTGCAGGGTAAAAGATGGGAATTTATGATTTTATTCTTCTACATAAGAATATATAGTTTTCTCAGCATCATTTGTTGAAAAGCATTTAAGACCATAAAAAAATCATGAGATCTAAAATTATAAGCAGAAGAGGAAGTGGGTCAAAATGATCCTAGTTGAGTACAAGTTAAAGAATGATTACTATCATCTGGACAATCATTTTCTGAAAGGGTACATTGTCCAAGAAAAATGGGAACCAAAAAGAGAACAATTTTACATTGTCTAAGAGTTGCCATTTTGTGTTGCCAATACAAACATACTATGCCAAGCAACTGTTAATGGGTACAGAGGCAGGGTGTTTCCATGGGAGAAGCATTTCTTACATGACGAGGAGTCTCAGAGTATAATGGAGTCTGTTTGATCATTGCCCATAAAGACTGGCCCATAACACTTCTATATATAAGATTAGGGCCAGAAACTTTACAACTGCTGGAAGAAATCAGACTCCACACTCAAACGTATTGTTGCAGGCACCTACTTCCTTAACAAGATACCTAAAGCTCAGGAAATAAAACCAAAAATCAGTAAATAGGAAGCCATCAAATTAAAAAGCTTCTGCACAGCAGAGGAAAAAATTAAGTGTGAATAAAGAGCCTAGAGAATGGGAGAAAATATTTGCCTTTTGCTCCTCTGACAGGAGATTAATATCCAGAGTATAAACAGAACTCAAAAAATTCAACACAATACACAAAAACAAAAACTCCACAAATAACACAATCCATAAATGGATAAAAGAACAAAATAGACACTTATTAGGGGGAAAAAATACAAATGGCCAACAAATATATGAAAAAGTTCAATATCCCTAGAAATCAGTGAAATGCAAATCCAAACTTCATAGAGATCTTATTTTTCTCCAGTTAGAATGTCAATCATTAACAGTACAAATAATAATCAATGATGATGAGGATGTGGAAGAAAAGGTA